AATCCGAACAGCCCGCTAGGATGACTCGATGACATTCGATTGTTACGTCGGTGATCTTGACACGAAAGTCAAAGAGCATTTTGTCATTCTACACATTCTCCAGACACTTGACGATTTGAGTACAGATGTTTGGTGGGTTCATGGTGTCAGTTAATCTGTAACAAATGATCAAAGAGTCAGCTAATCTGTAACAAATGATCAAAGAGTCATCTAATCTGTAACAAATGATTAAAGAGTCAGCTAATCTGTAACAAATGATCAAAGAGTTAGCCAATCTGTAGCAAATCATCATAGAGTTAGCCAATATATAACATATGATAATAGCGTTCGGCAATATGTGGTAAATTTTTTTATAAAAAATACACAATCCTGACATTAATGATCTATGCATTAATTTTAAATCTGTCTTTAATACTTAAATACTTAAATACATTAATACAAATATTTGTTTCTTGTAAACATTACTTCTTAAGTAATTACAAAGTTCGTAATGTTTTCTTTTGTTCATACTAGAAATGCAGTAAAATGATTTAAACATAATTTTATCTATACCCTGACACTTTTCAAACAATATAGCTGAGTTTGTTTTCCACAAATAATAAAATGATCGAAATAAAATAACAATTGTGACAACAATTGATATTTACGTGGGGGTGTGATCAGTTTCTTCATGAATTTTTTCTCCGAGGGGGGGAGCACTTGAAATTTTTGGGAGGGGGGAGGCGGTACACTATCTTTGGGGGGGGGGGGGAATGCCTGTAAAAAACTCATTAAAAGGTTCTGGTCTATAGTTTAAAGAAACCTCAAAATTATGTGTTGTTTTTTTTTTTTTTACAATACTTCTATAATTTTTTTTTTACCAATGTAAAGCATTTTGTAAGTTTTATTTTTTTCAAAATTTAGCTTTGTCAGTTATTATATTTTAAGGTTAGAATTATTAAGATTTATCTAGTATTAAATAGATCAATACATAATATGATCAACGTAATTTGCCCATAACCTATAGCGGAATACCGATGTATCTGAATATGTATCGACTTTTTTTGTAAGCCCAAGTAAATATGTTGTATATTAAATATTTATTGATCCTAGGCCTCACCAGATTCACCTGGCTGTTCTATGACAATAGTTTACAGAATTGAATATTGTTGAGATCGGGTGAAATTGTAATGGAGTCTAATTAAAAGCGCACAGTCATGGATAAACTAGTGAATTGGAGATTTGTTTTTGTAGAAAGCCATATTACTTTTTTCCAAAAGAACTAGACTCACGTGATTCATTAATTGACACCAGCGCTGTTTAAAGAGTCGCTTATGAAGAATGATTTTTAAGCGGGGCGTTTTCAGTGTTGTTTTTTCCCCCAAATACCACTAGCTAATCCCTTTTTAAACAATATTTTAAAATCTGAAACTCAATCCTGTCTCACCAACTCACCCTAACATTAACAATAACCATCTACATAAAATGTTATACTAACTTGAATACCGATATGTGGTATACAGTATCTTGCATATATTTTGCTCTTGAGCATTACCGCACCAATTTCTTCTACCTCTAACTCGATTGAAACACCATGTTAATTACAAGACCAAACAAAATACCAAAGCGTTAATTTCTGAACTACGATTAAGCTATGGTAAATAACTTAAGGCTTCGATAATTTAAATAAACTACCACAACCCTAAAAACTCATATTTGGTATTTGTCAGTTCATTTTGTCCGCATTCTCATCGCCAGTATCTCAAGGATATTTTGTAACAATAACTATGCCTTAGTCTTAAACCTTTCTCTAGACCACGCCTTATATGATTGACAATGATAGAATGTCGTTCGAATCTACAGAGTATCAACAATGTATAGCACCCAAACATTTCCCTAACGATATCCTTAAACCAAACTATAAACCAAAACAAACTCTAACCATTTAATCTTTTTCCCGTTTGCAGAGGCGTAGCGATGGGGGGGGGGGGGGGGGGCAGGGGGGTACATATGTCCCCGGGCGCCGACCTTAGGGGGCGCCAAAATGGGCTGTAAAAAAAATTAAATGTCATTTTAGCTGCATTTTTGCATTATAAACAGTTTGTAGAGAGGGAGTGCAAATAGAAAGTTTGAGAGGGGGTTGCAAATCGAAAGTTTGAGGGGGGGGGGTACAATTTGAAAATTTGCTCCCGAGGGGGGTGCCAAATTGAAAGTTTGTTCCCGGGCGCCGGGAAGGGTCGCTACGCCTCTGCCCGTTCGTGCCCAAGACACATTGGGCAGATGAAACATAGTTCATCTATTTCAGTGACCTCGGCATTCGGGTCAGCACTTTGTTTCACTAACAGGGACATCCTCACATCAAGTCGGGATCTTAGGGGTTTGCTGTCGTAAGCTCTACCATTTGACCATTCAACCACATCGGCCCCTGATCAGAAATATATTTCTATGAGTTAAAGTATCATTTTGTCAGTTAGGGATCATATAACTATGAATGCTGTCTAAAATTTATAACTGCCTACCTAAACTCAAATTTAAACACGAAACCTAATAAAGACCCTAACTTTAAAAGTAAACCAACATCAACACCGACATAAAACGTCAAAACTCTCCTCTTTACTCTTATACCAGCTTCTCGCATAATTATTTAAAGTACCTTCATTAATATTTTGGATTATATGGTGTATCTTTAAAAGTTGTAGATCTAGTTGTTTACAAGGTCTGGAGTAAAAACAAATATGTTGATTGCAAACAGGCGTGCTACTTTAGTGCGACACACATAAATACATCTAATATTGGAATCAAACAAAGTGCGCAAAAGTGTGAGGTTTTTTGAAAACACTATCAAGACGTACTAGACGACTCAGTTTAGTGTTGGAAAACGGTCTGTCGGCTGCACTGCATAACACATACTGATATTCCATTGCACCCACCCCCACCCTTTATAAAGCTTTTTATCTCTAAAATTTAGACCCGTAGACCCGCCACATCCCTTTACTTTAAACTATTCTCAGATGATACTAACGATGTTTATCTATAGTAGGTTCTACAGCTTAATGTAGCAGGTTTACGTCATGGTGTCGTCGTTCCCCCCACCCTTGTCGGAACTTGTCAACTTTACTCTTAGAAGTTTATTTAATTCTAATTAATCATTTATTTAACCGGAAAAATATTTTTTTTTCTGTATAAATTTTGCTAATTTTTGCCTTTGTAACACCTACCCCGCCCCGCTCGCTACGCCTCTATGATATAAAGAAAAGCGCGGGTCACTTTATTATCTATTGTATACCTTTCCTAATATTTAGGAAGAGACCCACGCTTTTCTTTATAGTATTTAAATTGTAGAGTATAAATTATTTTCTACTTTTTAGTGCATTATTACTTTAAAAGATTGTGATTAAAACGTTTTTTTATGAATTTGTTTCAGTAGTTTAAATTTTAAAAATTACAATAGAGTTGCATGACTAAAAACCCATTGCGCACTTAATGAACCTGATGACGCGTGTATAAAAGTGCGAAATAGTTGGGTAAGACTACCTACTAATCTGGTCAAAATTTTAATTAATTCATAAAAAAATTAATTAGGCAACCAATTAAGTCAAATTTAATGTCATGTTGCATTGTGTTCATGTCTTGACCTACGTACCAACCACGAACCGTATTTGTCGCATAGAAGTGCCTGTAATTTCGCTCGGCCGTTTTGTTCTAGACAAACAGTCGAAAGACTGTAGACAGAAAGACAGAGTCAGTGAGTTAAATAAAAGCTTGTAAAAACGTTTGAATTACAAGCTTTTATGTAATAATGCACTAAAAAGGAGAAAATAAAACACAGAGTTCCCGTACATCGAATCAATGTTTGTCTTACGAAAGTGAAACATCCGGTTATAACATACGTTTCATGAAAATAAATAGATATGTAGACTTAAACTCACGAAATTATTTTCAAGTTTTCTGGATTTGCAACATTTATAACATTGATTCTAATAATATTAAAGTTCTAATTCATTTTTAGGCTAAAGATTTATTTTTGTATTATTTTTACTGCCGTTACGTAGTCAAAAAATAAAAATAAAAACAAATTTTATCCATGTCAGCAATATGATGGAAGGATTTTCGTCAACTCTGTGGTGCCTGTACACAAAATCAAAGAAATCTCCTGGAATGATTACTTTAATTGGGAGTCTAACTTCTTTTTTTACAAGCTTTTATTTAACTCACTTCCTCGACAGTCTGTCGTCAGTCTGTCGTCAGTCTGTCTTGACGGAAACGCAGGAGTGAAAATTTGGACAGTTCTACTTGACCGACACGATTCACAGTTGGCACGTGGGTCAAGACATGAAGACAATGCAATCTGAAACTAAATTTGACTTAATTGGATGCCTAATTGATTTTTTATGAATTAATTAAAATTTGGACCGAATTAGTAGGCATGTCTAGTCAACCACACCACACGCGTCATCAATAGCTGCGCCATCACGACCACGTAATGGCTGCGTTCAAAAACCATTGCGCGCCTACTGAACGTGATATTCAGTAGGCGCGCAATGGTTTTTAGTCATGTAACTCTATTGTAGATAAAACATGTAAAGTACTGAAAAAAAATTCATAAAAAACGTTTTAATAACAAGCTTTTATGTAATGATGCACTAAAAAGTAGAAAATAAATTATAGACTACTATTTAAATAACTATAAAGAAAAGCGTGGGTGTCTTCCTTAACATTAGTAAAGGTATCCAATAGATACTAACGTGACCCACGCTTTTCTTTACAGTTATTTAAATAGTAGTCTATAATTTATTTTCTACTTTTTAGTGCATCATTACATAAAAGCTTGTTATTAAAACGTTTTTTATGAATTTTTTTTTAAATGTGGCCAAAAGAATTGCGTTCGGAATGTTTGTTTAATTTTGCACACTGAAATTAATCGGATTTGTATTTATTTCTGACGCACCAACAAAGCACTACTTTTTTTTCGGAAGTAAGAATAAACTTTGTATCGTCAACATCTGAACTTTGTTAACACGATGGACAAACAAGAGGTTTGTTTCCAGATCGTCCAGAGTCTGGAGAATGTGTGGAGTGAAAACATTTTATTTGACTTCGCTGTGAAAGTTCAAGATGAAACAATCCAATGCCATCGTCTCATCCTAGCGGCGTGTTCGGAATTTTTCAAGGCGCTGTTCAGATCTGGTATGAAAGAAGTCACAGAGAACTGTGTAGTCCTAAAAGATGTTTCATGTGAAGTTTTCCGCTTAATCATCAACACTATGTACACAGGGACAAGTCTGTTAACCTTAGACAATTTTATTGAAGTGTGGCAAGCGGCACATATGCTACAGGTTAAAGTTATGGTTAATGTTTGTGAGGAGTTTGCTATCAGATTATGTTCATTGGACACCTGGGAAAACATTTATCTACATGCTAAACTTTTCTGTTCAGTAAAAGTGCTCGATAAGCTCCATACATTCATGATAAAAAACTTTGAAGAAATTAGACAATCGACAACATTTTTACAGCTATCTTTCAAGGAAGTTCAAGATTTGATTAAAAGCCAAGATCTCGTTGTCAGTAAAGAAGATTTAGTTCTTGAATCTGTGATACAGTGGGTTGAATATGTTGACGGAAATCAGCTAAATCATAATTTAAATGAGGATCATAACCATACAATCAGCTGTAATGACGTAAAGACAGATATCAGTTTATCCATTGATGAAGCGAAGGAAATTAAAGAAAGTGAGGATGGACTTCATCGTAATAATTGCTTACAGAATTCAAATAAGACTGAAATTACAGCAGTGCAAGAAGTAACTACTACTCATTCAACTAATACTGTAAAGTCTTCTAGAAAAGTTAAACTTAAAGAACTGTTAATGGAAGTCAGAACCTGCCTGGTTAGTCATGCTGCTTTATATCGAGTTCTTAAGTTGAGACTGTTTTCTGAAGATGAAAATTCGAGAGAATTGATTCTGAACGGCATGTCACATCATGTCCAAGAGTTTAGACACGGTCAGTGGTCGTCATCGGCTTTACACAGATCTTGTAGTGGTTACATAAATGCTGGTGTTAATGCATATGGTGGTGGGATTTTTGAAATAATAACTGCTGACAAAGAGCAACAGTTTAATATTACAAAATGTAGATATTTGAAAGAAAACATTCAACTCGTCACGTTTGATGGTGAACTTTATGCTACAGGTAAAGAAGTAGGAAACTCTCCAGGTCGAATGTTTGTCTTCTGTGGCAAAAACTGGAAGGAAGTCATGGAAATGCCAAGTCACAATTTGTTATTAGTTTCACACGGAGACTTTATCTACATCATAAACAAAGACGATAAAGTTTTATATAACATCAACCCAAAAGAGAGGGAACCGAATTTAGAAAAAATTACAGATTTTCTTTCAAATGATACTGAAGTAAATTATGCAATGGTTCTTGAAAATTTGTTTCTTTTATTTTGCTCTGAATCTGTCAACGGTATAGAAAAAACGGCCGTCCATAAATATGAGATGTTGTCTAAAGTTTGGACCAGATTAGACAATCTTGATGGACCATCCGAACAGCTGATTAGTTTTAAAAATGACAAACACAACTACATTTTACAGACAAATGGCAGTTTGTGGCTGCTAGAAAAGTTATCTGGCAATGGTAGTATTGAATTTAAATTTCTAGACAAACTTTGGAATTTTAGAAAGAAGCTCTATGGAGCGTTAACGTTTCAAAGTAAACTAATAATTTTGGGAAACAACCCCAACAATGATCCACATAATGAAAAACAACTGCCTTTGCTTTCTGAGCACTTTACGGAAATATCCCACTGGGAAAATGACTTTTGCAGTTCAAATTTTATTCCCATCACCATAAGAAAGAATGATTTAGTTCCGATAAAAAAGGTCTAGTGTGGAATACACGAAATGCGTGTGACGACACACAGTTCAATATGTTTATATAGGTTTAAACGTCGTTTGGTCTACTAGGTCATCTTTCTATACATCTTTTTATGTGTTATTTATATCATTTTTACACGATAGGCAGACATTAGTTAATACAAAAGTACAGTTTAATTTTTTTGAATAGCCTATACGTTTATATATTTCCCCCCTGAAAATAATTAAATAAATAAAACAAAACTTATTACCGGTGTCACTGTTGCATTTAATATTTATAAATCACTTAGACTGTGCATGTACGTGTGTGTGTGTGTGTTTGTGTGTTTTGAGTGAGGGGTGATTGTGGAAGAGATTTAATTGACGGGACGGGTAATGTAGAGTATACACGGATGAGAAGAGTAGTATGGTAATGAACTAGAACTCGGTAAGTTTGAAATAAGGCAAACTTAAGTGGTCACCAAACCAACGATCTAGAAATGTATCGAATATTTTTTTTTATACAGAAAAAATTTCGACAGACGCCTGAGAGCTTGCGGTATTTGACTTACATAATTTATGCGATTCTGTAACAATTTCAGGGAACAAATTTGTTTTTTTTGCTCAAAAGCCATTGGTGCTAACTCTTAATAAACTTACTACAACTCTTACACCAACTCGCGAATAATATAAACATTTTGATTACACTCTCTTACATTTTGGTTAATGCATTTCTCTCCCTGAAATGGCTGATTTAGATTTAATAATGGTTACTTTTATTTATTTTAACTCTCATTTGAAATTATCAAAGTAGAAATCAAAGTAAATGGATCATTAAAAAAGTATGCTTGTTTGACTATTGCCGAGTGAGTGTAGACCTTGTTTGAAAATATGTTATGTTATTTCTTTAAAAGATACAGACAATCGAGGATATTTAGAGCTAAAGTCCATATTAGCCTAGAAGATTGGTTAGAGCTAAAGTTTATACATGTAGAAGGTTGGTTTAAGCTGAAGCGTATTAGTCTAGAAGGTTAGTTAGAAATAATGTGTAATCGTCTAAAAGGTTGGTTAGAGATAATGTGTATTAATCATTAAGGTTGGTTTGAGCTAAAGTGTAGTTGTCTAGAAAGATAAAGTGTATTAGTCTAGACGTTTGGATAGGGCAATATTTTACACGCTCAGCGTGCATTATGTTCCCTATCATACTTCATGGTTGTAATCAATGACGTGCTACATTCTCGCGACGGAAGACAAACTCAAAACATTCGGGATAAAAGATTTGTTAAAAATTAATTAGAGCTAGGATGTAGTTCACATAAAAACAACTTGCAATTTATAAAATAGATTTAGACTTGAAAAGCTCGTTACAATGGTTCCACATTTTTGTTGCCAGAAAGTATATTTTTCAACCAAAATTTAATATTTAATATTGTATAACATTTGTGTAATAAGTACAAAATTACTTCCGGTTTTTTAAAGCTAGACATAGTCAAAGAAATAATTACCAGTAAGTTAATAGTAATTTAGCAAATACTTTTATTTTTAATTTGGATTAGTAGAGTAGGAGTATTGTGGTGATTTGGGATATTATAGTATTTAATATAAATACAACATTAAGCTATACACCATACATCACTATTGTGTATTTTTATTATGGAAAACAATGGTTCTCATTTTTATTGTTTTACTCTCGGTTGACTTCTTTGAGAGGTTGAGGTCAGTTTTTTTTTAAATTTTTCAAACAGTTAAAATAATTCTAAACAGCTTTTCAAAGGCTTATATTCGATAGAAACTTATAAAAACTGAGTGTAATCGATGGTTCAGAAAAGGCTTTAATTTTTACACATGTTACAGTGATGTTATCGCTTGCAATATTTTTTAAAAATGTTGTTTTAAAAATTTGGGGTGATTACATAGACTTTCATGCTTATCATTAAAATACCTATCTAATTTTGCGTACTATGTGTTAACGAAGTTGCATTGAAATTTCTTTCGCACCAATAAAGCACTATTGTTATCTAGTCAGGAAATGCCGCATTTTATTTTATTATTAACATCCGATCTACGTTTCAAAGATGAACAAAAAAGAATTTTGTGTCCAGATCGTCCAGAGTCTGGAGAATGTGTGGAACGAGAACATTTTATTTGACTTCGCTGTGAAAGTTCAGGATGAAACCATCCAATGTCATCGTCTCATCCTAGCGGCGTGTTCAGAATTTTTTAAGGCATGTTTTCGTTCTGGGATGAGAGAGGTGAAAGAAAACTGTCTAATCCTAAAAGATGTTTCGTGTGAAACATTCCGCTTAATCATCAATACTATTTATACAGGAACAAGTCTGTTGACTTTAGACAATTTTATTGAAGTGTGGCGAGCAGCTCATATGCTACAGGTTAAACTGATGGTTAATGTTTGTGAGGAGTTTGCTATCAGATCATGTTCATTGGACACCTGGGGAAACATTTATCTACATGCAAAGCTTTTCGGTTCAGATAAAGTGCTAGATAAACTCCATACATTTATGCTGAAAAACTTTGTAAAAATTAGATTTTCAATAACATTTCTACAACTTTCTTTCAAGGAAGTTCACGATTTGATAAATCCTCACCAACTTCAGCAATGACGTAAGCTTATCTTTTCTAGAACTATTCCTCTTTACTGCAACATCATTGGATGAACTGTCATCATTGTTGAGTATCTCAACGCCAGAGTCTAATTCATTGTAGGTTTCTTGATTTAGATTTTGGACACTTACGTTAATTTCACTCTGGTACGTATCCGTTTCACATATGAAGTTGGAATTGTCAATCGTAGTTTTCGAATCATTAGATAAATCCACGTATTGATTAGTTCCATCGATTAGTGCGTGGTCTACCCACTTGATTACAGCACCAAAAACTACATCCTCACTTCTGACAACGAGCGCTTGGTTTTTGACCAAATCACGAACTTCAGTGTAAGACAGTTGAAGAAATGTTAACGACAGACTAATTTGGTCAAAATTATTCAACATGAATGTAAACGTCTGGTTTAGAACTCTTTCTGAACCCAAAATACTTGCATTAGTGTAAATTTTCTCCCAAATATCCATTGCTATTAATTCAATTGCAAAGTTTTCACACAGATTGACCATGAATGTAATCTGCAGCTGATGAACCGCTCGCCATACTTCAAAAAGATTTTCTGAATTTAAAATATTTTCACCTGTGTATATTGTTTTTAAAATTAACTGAAAAACGTCGCAGGAGACATCTTGTAGAGCAACACAGTTCTCTGTGACTTCCCTCATGCCAGAACGGAAAAGTCCGCGAAAAAAATCCGAACAGCCCGCTAGGATGACTCGATGACATTCGATTGTTACGTCGGTGATCTTGACACTAAAGTCAAAGAACATTTTGTCATTCCACACATTCTCTAGACACTTGACGATCGGAGCACAGATATTTGGTGGGTTCATGGTGTCAGTTAAGTCAGTTAATCTGTAACAAATGATCAAAGAATCAGCTAATCTGTAACAAATGATCAAAGAATCAGCTAATCTGTAACAAATAATCATAGAGTCAGCTAATCTGTAACAAATGATCAAAGAGTCAGCTAATCTGTAACAATTAATGATAATAGAGTCAGCCAATATGTAACAAATGATCATAGAGTCAGCCAATATGTAACAAATGATTATAGAGTCATCCAATCAGTAACAAATGATCAAAGAGTTAGCCAATCTGTAACAAATGACCATAGAGTCAGCTAATCTGTAACAAATGATCAAAGCAAAGAGTCAGCCAATCTGTAACAAATAATCAACGAGTCAGTCAATCTGTAACAAATGATCATAGAGTCATCCAATCAGTAACAAATGATCATAGAGTCATCCAATCAGTAACAAATGATCAAAGAGTCAGCCAATCTGTAACAAATGATCAAAGAGTCAGCCAATCTGTAACAAATTATCAAAGATTCAGCAAATCTGTAGCAAATCATCATAGAATTAGCCAATATATAACATATGATAATAGAGTCCGGCAATATGTGGTAACATTTTTTTATAAAAAATACACAACCCTGACATTAATGATCTATGCATTAATTTTAAATCCGTCTTTAATACTTTAATACTAATATTTGTTTCTTGTAAACATTACTTCTTAAGTAATTACAAGGTTCTTAATGTTTTCTTTTGTTCATACTAGAAATGCAGTAAAATGATTTAAACATAATTTTTATCTATACCCTGAAACGTTCAAACAATGTAGCTGAGTTTTTTTTCAACCAATAATGTGGGAGCACTTGAAATTTTTGGGAGGGGGGGGGAGGCGGTAGACTATCTTGGGGGGGGGGGGGGGGGGAAATGCCTGTAAAAAACTCATTAAAAATGTTCTGGTCTATAGTTTAAATAAACTTCAAAATTATGTGTTGTATTTTTTTTTACAAAAATTCTATATTTTTTTTTTACCAATGTAAAGTATTTTGTAAGAGTTTAATTTTTTTCAAAATTTAGCTTTGTCAGTTATTATTTTTTACGGTTAGAATTATTAAGCTTTATCTAGTATTAAATAGATTAATACATAGTACGATGAACGTAATTTGTCCATAACCTATAGCGGAATACCGATGTATCTGAATATGTATCAACTTTTTTTGTAAGCCCATGTACATATGTTGTATATTAAATATTTATTGATCCTAGGCCTCACCAGATTCACCCGGCTGTTCTATGACAATAGTTTACAGAATTGAATATTGTTGAGTTCTGGTGAAATTGTATGAAGTCTAATTTGAAGAGCTCAGTCATGCATGGGCTAGTGTAATGGAGATTTGTTGTTGTAAAAAGCCACATTTCTTTTTTCCAGAAGAACTAGACGCATGTGATTCATTAATTAACACCAGCGCTAATTTACTCTGGATTAATTCTTGTTTATTTGGCCTTTATTGCATTGAAAGATGCTTGGATTAAGACTGTTTAAAGAGTCGCTTATGAAGACTAGCTTTAAATTACTCTACTTACAGTCTAGTTTTTATTGGGAGAATGATTTTTAAACGGGCGTTTTCAATGCTGTTTTTTTTTTCCAAATACCACTAACTAAGCCGCTGTAACATACCTATCCCTTTTTAAACAATATTTTAAAATCGGAAACTCAATCCTGTCTCACCAACTTACCCTAACATTAACAATAGGGCTGGTAAGTAGGTCACCAACCAGTTCTTTGGCTCATGCAGGTTTTATTGAGCCGTAGAACTGATTGGTGACCTACTTACCAGCCCTATAACCATCTACATAAATTTCATACTAACTTGAATACCGATATGTGGTATACAGTATCTTGCATATATTTTGCTCTTGAGCATCACCCCACCAAATTCTTCTACCTCTATCTCTACCTCGATTGAAACACCATATTAATTACGAGACCAAACAAAATGATGAAACATAGTTCATCTATTTCAGTGACCTCGGGATTGTGGTCAGCACTTTGTTTCACTAACATGGACACAGGGACATCCTAGAGATCTCAAGTCGGGATCCGAACTCGACACTTAGGGGTTTGCTGTCGTAAGCTCTACCATTCGACTACATGGGCCCCTGATCAGAAATTTATTTCTATGAACTAAAGTATCATTTTGTCAGTTAGGGATTATATAACTATGAATGCTATCTAAAATTTAAAACTGCCTACCTAAACTCTAATTTAAACACGAAACCTAATAAAGACCCTAACTTTAAAAGTAAACCAACATCAACACCGACATAAAACGTCAAAACTCTCCTCTTTACTCTTATACCAGCTTCTCGCGTAATTATTTAAAGTACCTTCATTAATAATTTGGATTTTATGATGTATCTTAAAAAGTTGTAGATCTAGTTGTTTACAAGGTCTGGAGTAAAAAATATAATAATGTTGATTGCAAACATGCGTGCTTCATTGGTGCGACACACATAAATAGATCTAATATTGGAATTAAACAAAGTGCGCAAAAGTTTGAGGTTTTCTGAAAACACTATCAAGACGTACTAGGCGACCCAGTTCACTATTGGAAAACGGTCTGTCGGCTGCACTGCATAATACTTACTGATATTTCATTGCACCCACCCCCACCCTTCATATAGCTTTTTGTCCCCAAATTTAGACCCGAAGACCCGCCACATCCCTTTAGGATATCCCAGTGGCGTAGAAAGGTCGGGTGTCACCCGGTGCAGCAGCTAGTGGTGTCACCCCCCTCACCCCAGACGTGGATTGAATATAAAGTCATTATGATTTTTTAATGAAACCTTTTTTCTCTGGCAAATTTTGAAACGTTTAGTTGATGTAGCCCCCCCCCCCCTCACTGGTGATAGCTTTAAACTATGCTCAGATGATACTAACGATGTTTATCTATAGTAGGTTCTACAGCTTAATGTAGCAGGTTTACGTCATGGTGTCGTCGTTCCCCCCACCCTTGTCGGGACTTGTCAACATTACTCCTAAAAGTTTATTTAATTCTAATTAATCATTTATTTAACCGGAATAATAATTTGTTTCTGTATATATTTTGCTAACTTTTGCCTTTGTGACACCTCCCTATATGGTGTCACCTGGTACGGTCGGCCCCCACCCCCCGCTCGTAACGCCTCTGTGATATCCATTTTCTGACGTCCATGCGGGGTAGGAGGAGGGTGTCATAGTAAAGTAAAGCTTTGTGGACGCTTGCAGGGTGGGGGGGGGGGGAGGTAGGCTGGCTTAGCGGTAACTTTCATTATATAACATTCGCATACTAATACGGTGATAACAATCAATATGGTTACAGGATAAATGATCATAGACAAAATATCGCAGACAAAATATCTTACGGACAAATTATCTCAGGACAAATGATCTCAGGACAAATGATCTCACGGACAAAAGATATGAGGAAAAACATATCAGGACAAATGATATCATGGACAAATAATCTCAGACAAAATATCTCACAGCAATTTATATTAGTGTATGGTCATCAAATCCAATTTAAGACCAATTCAAGTTACTCTATCGTAAACAACTTGTACAAGAAATGCGACGAAACACGAATTCCCTCCACTTATATTTTTCTGTAACTAAATATTTTTTTTTTTAAGTTACGCATTTAAAAATTTACAGATTTGAACGTTTTTGTCGCACCGAAACGCACGTAGATCTAGATGTAAACCAATATAAAAAACATTTCTTTACTTCCGGCTTTAATGGTTTTAAGATACTCATTACCATTTGACAGGTAAAAAAGAAGGTATATTTTAAAATTCCGCAAGAACATCAATATAAATAGTGGTAAGGTTTAGACCCTAGATAAACTTTCAAATAATCGACTCCCGTCTGGCTATAGTGCTCTATATTTACAACAAATATATATATAAAAAAACTTTATTCATTTACTATTGAATAGCTTGGGGTGTCAACAACAGTGAAACAATGTATCTAGATCTATATCTAGTTATACGATAACTGAAATAATAATTAGAATCTACACATTATTATATGAGATGCTCTGAAGTAAAAGGGACGGAGTACACAACTATTCACTCTTGATGCTTACGATACATTGAATCAAAGAAAGTCATCACTGTGTTGCTAATTGTTTACACGACTTTATAATTACAACTAACCTAGCAACAAAAACTGTTTTTAGAAATTAAATAATTCATTATTCAAAATAAAATAAAATGAATAGCTAGAATGTGTGCTTTTATGTACCTGAAAAATTAGATATGCGGTCTCAAGCTAAAAGAGAACATTGTCTTGAATGAGCTAAAGATCTGACTTATGCCATTAAAAGAATCTTTTTATTATTTATTATTATTATTATTATTATTTATTTGACGCACTATTTTTGTTTGTACTAATTAATCTTATAAACTTAAATTTAAAAAAAAAAACCTTACAGATTTGATACAAAATGAACAGACAAACGTTTTGTGACCAGATCGTTAAGGGTCTAGAAAATGTGTGGAATGAAAACATTTTATTTGACTTCGCTGTGAAAGTTCAGGATGAAACCATCCAATGTCATCGTCTCATCCTAGCGGCGTGTTCAGATTTTTTCAAGGCGCTGTTCAGATCTGGTATGAAAGAAGTCACAGAAAACTGTGTTGTGCTAAAAGATGTTTCATGTGAAGTTTTCCGCTTAATCATCAATACTATTTATACAGGAACAAATCTGATAACTGTAGACAATTTTAATGAAGTGTGGCGAGCAGCACATATGCTGCAGATAAACTTTCTGGTAACATTTTGTGAGGAGTTTGCTATTAAAACATGTTCATTGGACACCTGGGAAAACTATTATCTACACGCAAAACTTTTGGGTTCAGTAAAAGTTCTCGATAAAATCCACACATTCATGTTGAAAAACTTTGAACAAATTCAACAGTCAACAACGTATCTTCAGATGTCCTTTCAAGAAGTTCAGGAATTGATAGAAAATGAGGATCTGTTTGTCAGCAACGAAGATGTAGTTCTTGAAGCTGTGATAAGATGGGTCGAATATGTTGATGAAATGCCGCCACGCGAGCATTTAAGTGGTAAAAAAATTATGACAAATAGCAATAAGGATTTGGGAAATGAAACTGATTTCCACAATAAAAATGAAGAAAACACCTTTAAAGCAAAAAATGATAATAATATAAATCATGATAATTGGTTACAAACGGCAAGACAAGCAGTAACTGAAGTACGCGCTAATCAATCAATGGATTCTGTAGAAATTGTAAAGCATTCTAGAAAAGATAAACTTATAGAACTGTTAATTCAAGTAAAGATATGTCTTGTAAGTCATGCTACTTTATTTCGCGTGCTAAAGATGAATTTGTTTTTAGAAAATAAAGATTCACGAGAATTAATTCTCGACGCTATGTCACATCATGTCCAAGATTTTAGACACGGTCAGTGGTTGTCAGCGGCTATACACAGATCTTGTAGTGAGTACATAAATGGTGGTGTGTTTGCAGGAAGAGGTGGGTACTTTAGGTTTCTAACTGCATGCAAAGAAGAAGTGTTCAATGTTTTAAAATGTAATTATTTAGATGAGAATATTCAGCTGGTCACTTTTGACGGTGACCTTTATGCTACGGGAAGACAACAGAACCAACCAAACGGACCTTGTCGAATGTTTGTGTTCTGTAACAACAACTGGAAAAAAGTGACGGAAGTGCCAAGTAACAATATGTTGTTAGTGTCACACAGGGACTTCATTTACGTCATAAACAAAGACAATCAAGTTATATATAACATCAATCCAAAAGGGAAGGAACCGAAATTAGGACAAATTACACATTTTCCTTCAAATGATGTTAATGTGAAACATGTAATGGTTCTGAAAAATTTCCTTCTATTATTTTGTTCAGAATCTGTCAACGGTATCGAGAAAACGGCCGTTTATAAATTTGAGATTTTGTCCAAAGTTTGGAACAGATTAGACAATCTTGATGGACCAGCTGAACAGCTGATTAGTTTTAAAAATGACAAGCACGACTACATTTTACAGACAAATGGCAGTTTATGGTTGATACTTCACTCATCACACACTGGAAACATTGAATTTAAATTTCTTGCCAAACTTTGGAATTTTACAAAGATGCTGAAAGGCGCCTTAACCTTTAAGAGTAAGTTGATAATTTTAGGTAACAACCCTGACAACGACCCGCCTAACAAGACAAAAATAAGAGAATTCCCGGACCATTTTTCAAGAATATCTTATCAGGGAAATGACTGGGACAGTTTATGTTTTGTTCCCATCACAATATCAAAGAATGATTTATCTCCCTCGCTTATTTCTTTGTTTTTTAAATGTTCGTAGTTCTTGCGGCGAATGACAGTCTCAAATATTTCCATCATTTTAGTAAAACGACAAATAATATCGTACTGAAGTGGTTGTAGAAACCAGAATTTTAAAATTTTATTTTAATTATATACATGCGCGCGCAAACACACGCACACAGACACCCACACAAACACTTGTTACATGCAATATACAAAACACTGCATTCTATATGTGCGTGTCTGGAGTGCGTCTGATTATTATTATCTGTAGGTTAAAAGGCGAATGTACCGTTTCATTTAGCTGTCGTAAACTGTTCGAAAATTTTCGTTAAGTAGTCCAGAATTATGGCGCCGAGGAAGGTTTTCTGTCGTGTCAGAACTAGACCATCCATGGCATCGACAGTTATTACTGTCCATCTAAAGTTGTACATTTTGATTCCATGTTTTTGAATTCTAGTATGATAGTTGCTTTTTTAAATGTTTTATATATATATATATATTTATATAAATATGTATTTTTGTCATAGGTTAACTTCTCCCTACCATGTTCATTTAGACTTTTAGCCACAATGGAAGTAGTGTCTGACCACGTGGTGGCAGAAAGACTTTATTTTAAAGTCAATTTTTTTTATTCATGTTATGCATTTTTCCTAATATTAAGGCTCATGCTTGTGAACCTCCTGTGGAGGGAATGTTTCACAGCATTGGTTATTGCTAGTTGTCTCCTGGATTTAAATTATTCCAGGGATAGGCTTGGTTATTTAGACTTGACCCAAAGTTATGGTTCACTGCTGACTATAGGGTTGAGTTATGCTCCTGAATTTAAGTAACTGTTTTATTTAATACTGTTTTAATGCCATTGTAGTTGAGCATCACTTCCTAGGGAGATGTTTATTGTATCCACAGGGGAGTGTTTGGCTCATCCAGGTCACTATGTGTAGTCAGAATTATAGTATGGTTGGCATTGAATGTCGACTGATTGTCACTCCTTAGGGATAACTTTATTGAGAGAGGAAGACTTGGTTCAGTGGACTAATATGATATTATCGTGAGTTGTCCTGACGTGGACTACTCCTAGACAGTTACAATTTATTTAATCCTGCTGTGTGTATACCTTTTTGTCGTTATTACACGTCTCATTTGTCTGTTCTCTTTTCAGGTTGTAGTTCAATTTGGTGTTTAGTCTGTTTTGTTCTCTCTATTTAGTATTTGTTTTTTTAAATTAAATTTTCTTTCGACATTTGGTTCAATTTTTTTGTGAAATAAATTTTATAGCCTCTTAGCTTTTTTGTTTGTATTATTTTAGTATAAGGCCAAGGTTAGGATTTTAACCAGTCTGAGTTCGACCAAACTTGCACTGACCTGAAAGTTTATTTATATAAGTCTAGGATGGTAGAATAGCCACCCAACTTCTCTGGGCTTATATATAGTACCTGGGCAATGAATACAACCGCTAACCTTTGAAGGCAATGTGTGAAATTCTCCACTCTGCCTGTTTGTTATATGGTATTCTATAGAACGACAAAGAAACGTATGAAATATGAAAGGAAAATGATGTATTACATAATTTGACGACCCATTCCGGGCATTACATACATTGCCTAGTTATTTTATAGAAGGAGTATAAGTAGACTGTGATAGTGATTGTGTGGTCTAACGGTGGGTTGTAGATTTGGTTAAACATCTTTTTTAAGATTGTTATCACTATGATGTTGTCAACGTAAGTGTTGAACTCATGGCATAGAGATATTTCTAATTAATGATATATCATATGATAGAAAATAAAGGCTAATTTAAAAACAAAAATGGTTGAAATACATTAATTTCACACATTGTCTATGTTTTTACTAAAGTTTCAAAGTACTGTCATACTAAGGGGTTAAATTTTACACAGGTATTTTCATTGGATATTGTAAGTGCTAAAAATTGAAAGAACATTATTTGTTTTCACCTACACCAACAAAACTTCATTAAAAACTACTGTTTTAAAGACAAAGAAATGTATCTTCTAACTAAACTATGCCTACATTTATCTGTTTAAAGTCTGTGCTTATACAAAAAGTGTTGCACCAATGAAAAACGGTTCATCGATATAAAACACATTTTTAAAGCTCTCACCATTAAGTTAGTTGATAATCGGATACTTAAAATAAGCTACAGATTAATGGTGACATTTTATATAAAAAGAGAATAATATTATAAGCCTTACGTCTTGGATAAGCTGGTCTAGTCTAGTGAATTAACTCACTGAATACACTTTTGTTTACTTGATCAATCGCTCGAAACTACAGATATTTTCGTCGCTTTTGATACTGATGACAATACAAAAATATATAATTTGATTTCCACCCCCTACAATATGTCCATATTGTTGTATAGGTATGTAGGCCTATTGAGGCTTTAATGTTCCGTTTCGTGTCTGACATTTTGGAGAAAGAATTCCACAGTGAAGATTTCTAAAGGATAAAATCATTGCAACATATCACAGCTGGTCCTCGTGTTTTGTCCTATTGCAGATTTTATAGCCCTTAGTGTATAAATTAAAATAGATATTAAACAAAGTATTCCTCTTTAAATCTAACTATGCATTTAACAGATGAAGTAGAGTTCATATGTTGCTTGACTTCGGCATATGAAGAGATAATATAGTCAGCACTACGCCGAGCCACCTTTACTTTCCCTTCAGAGCTGGGTGGACTATGGGACGTTCAACTTACTCGAACCATGTTTCGAACTCAAAGTTTAGCGCTCTATCTCTAGACCACAAAGTCCCGTATATAATTTTATATATATATATATATATATATATATATATATATATATATATATATATATATATATATATATATATATATATGTACTCAAAATATACAAACGACGATAGGATGGTAGAACGCTAGATTGCTAACCCGAATTTCTCAAGTTCGATTTACGGGCTTGAGTCCATAGGACATCTTACAGTCACCCAATGCTGATGAGTACCCGGCTCATGTTAAGGAAACTAAGGATAAAGACAAGGATAAAGGTTAACAGAATAGCTAGGCATACGTGAATGCTAAATTATGTATAGGAACTTTGAATCAGGCCAGGCCATAGAATTCGCTTTCCATCCATCGGTTCGTTGACAGACTTTTGAACCCTTGAAATCAACTTTTAAGTACGGCAACAATATTGCCCATTTATGCCCACGAAATCTTAGTCTGCCCCCCCCCCCCCCCCCCCAGGAAAATTTAAAGTGTCGTCCACCCGGAGAAAGTCTGGATGAAACATTGTTACTAGGTCTTCTCTAGATCCGGCACTTCCTAATTTCTCGGCTAAACACTAGACTTATGCCCCCCCCCCCCCTCCTTAAAACACGACAGAGCGAGATCTTTTACTAATAGCCTCTGGTCCGACACTATCAACAAAGTTTAACTACAATAAAAAAAAACTTGCCACTGATGAAGAAAAAGAAAATATGGGGTTGGATAGGACACACATGGCGCAGACCGCCAACCCACATTATCAGGTAGGCAGTGAGGAAAGCGCAAAAGAGGTTGGCATAAAAAAAAACACCTGGAGACGGGACCTTGAAGCTTAAACCACAAAGATGGGCTACATCTGGAGAAGGGACCTTGAAGCTTAAACCACAAAGATGGGCTACACCTAGAGAAGGGACCTTGAAGCTTAAACCACAAAGATGGGCTACATCTGGAGACGGGACCTTGAAGCTTAAACCACAAAGATGGGCTACATCTGGAGACGGGACCTTGAAGCTTAAACCACAAAGATGGGCTACACCTGGAGACGGGACCTTGAAGCTTAAACCACAAAGATGGGCTACACCTGGAGACGGGACCTTGAAGCTTAAACCACAAAGATGGGCTACATCTGGAGACGGGACCTTGAAGCTTAAACCACAAAGATGGGCTACACCTGGAGACGGGACCTTGAGGCTTAAACCACAAAGATGGGCAACATTTGGTTAGCGGACTATAACCCTTCATCGGCGATGGGCACGTAATGAAGATGATGGTGATTGATATAAATTAAAAAAAATACATTCCAGTTCAATTTACGCACTAAAAATAATATCTATTTTTAAAAAAAAAAAAACTTCTTTCGCACCGAAGACACCCGTATGTAGATCTAGATCTAAAAACAACATTGTTTACTTCCGACCTTAAGAATTCTGAGAATCTGATTACAATATGACAGATTAAAGACGTTATTTTTATATAAAATATCCCAACGAAAATGTTATTATTGTGGTAAGAGTTGTGGGCTCTAGCAGAAAAGCTTTCATTGTATTTTGATGCCATTTTTGTGTTTACAATAACCATTTAGTAAACCTTTGCCCATTTTCTATTTAATAGCTCTGGAAGCAAAATAACAGTTAAATATTTATTGTAGAATCTAGAACTATACCCAGTGCTGCTGTATCTCAATGAACATCATAGATAAAAGAGATTTTTAAGATGGTTTGCGGTGTTAATAATAGCAATTTGGTTATAAAAATTTAATGGTGACATTTCTGTCGGCACTTATAAAGATTGTATGTATTTGATGTCTGTAGTATACGAGTTTTTTAATCACTGAAATTGTAAATAAACTTAGCATAAATTAGTGCATGTGGTTTAAAAAAGAATAATTGTATTTAAAAACTTTTATCGGCTGTTTTGAGTACAAATTACTACATAGTGGCGTTTTCAGAAGATTGATTACAAATTTCTACACTGTCAATCCATGTTCGTCTCTTACGAAAGTGAAGCTTCAGGTTATAGTTTAGACTTAATGAAAATAAAATTAAATCTTGCCATAAACGCAAAAAAATTATATATTCAAGTTCACTACATATGAAACTTTTATAACATTGATTCTTTAAAAATAAAATTTCTGAAATTTTTGCTAATAAAAAGTTTGGATTTTTACGACCGCTATAATGGAAAAATCGTCAAAACACGATTTTATACATGATGTCCATGGGAAATATAGTTTGCCTATTATATTTATCAGAGGCACTAAATTATCTGTTCTTAAGTTAAACACAGTGTCCGCTTGATATTTCCGATACCTTCTATTACAGAACATAATCGCTGAGATTTGTTTACTAGCTAAAAATGGGAATATAAATTTTAGGCTGTCTTGCTTGAAATGAAAAGTATAGATTATCTGTCTTTGATTCATGAAAGTAGGCTGTCTTGCTTGAAAAGTGTAAATTATCTTGCTTTAATTATAGAAAATAAGTTTTTTTGTTTAAAATGTAAAGTGTAGATTATCGCTCTCTAAATTGAGAAAGTAGATTGTTCAAGTTTTGACAAGATTGTCTTGAGATACTAAATTAACAGAAATGGTTAATTTGATTAAGTATGAATAATAAGGTATACATAATTATCTAGCTATACTATTACAGCTGCAACAGAGAATTAATAAGAATCAAAAGCGAGGTGAAATACTTCACAATTGTGTTATTTCTGGTCTGTCATAAGTTACTTATTAATCGAATCATTATTTATTAATTTTAACCCTTTATCTACTGACGGTACTTATAAGTACCACTTTAATTAGATGCCTGTATTATTTTTAATTTAATACGAATTTTAATTTTGTTTGAGGTAATTAATAGTATTATCTCCCCTGAGTCGCCGGTAGTTGGAGGTATCGATGGTTTTAGAAAATTTCTGGTGTGGCGCCATTTTAAATGTCTTGCTGTAACGGTAGTTCACAATTGTTCTGTACAGTTCTCACATTTTTTCCTGATTTTCCTTTGTTTTACCTTATTTTTCAAGTTTTCATCCCCAAATATTTTTTATTGGCACCTTCAACAGTCAGGCAAACGCGTTTAGCTTCTAGTTTTACAATTTTTATCAAATTGTCTATGTAATAGATCGATGTTTACAAGTGGACTTATAAGTACCGTCAGGGCACACGGTCATTTTTTAGGATTTTTAGAAAATGACATAAATATTATTTTGAAAATTAATTATCGAAATGTACTCAAAAAATGATATTTACACATTTATAAGAAGGTTAGCATATGTTTTACCATAGAAATATTGTAATTATATGTTGATTTCTAGTAGTAAAAGAATAACAATAATAAAGGTAGCAGTTGCAGGCTCATTTACTAGGTTTAGTATACTTCATTTGTATACCAAAGCCTAGTTCTAGTAGTAATATTTAATTTGTTAGTTATATTTACTGCAATAAACTGTCTTGCCTACAATAACTAGCATTTACGTACTGTATACATGTAGACTAGTAAAAGCCCATATTTCTGCATATAGTATAGATCTATATGGTACATTTTAATCAACAAACAGACAACAGTAGGCCACTACGACTATCCTAAACATATTGAGCTCACTTCTATTTATGAACTTTACACTGTAGTGTAGACTTGTATAATTGTAGCCTACTATAATGTTATGACTAGTATTACTAGTAGGCCCTAGTTGTGTGCTGAATGACTAGGCTTTTGTTTGTTCATGCGGCTCATTGTAATAGCTGTTGGAAGCTTTCAGAAAAAGCATGTTTAGTCCGGCAACCGTTGCTACACCAAAAAGACCACAGATAAGAATGAGGGAGCATGACATGTCGGCAACTTCTGCTGTCTTTGAGGTCTAAGATATGTTACGATAGAAAATCCAGTAAAAATCGTACTCAAAATACACTTTTGTGCTGTATTTATGTGTGAAAATTACAAAAATTATTTTTATAATCATTGCCATGTTATTAGTTACTAAATGGTATCGTTTTTTCCTGTTTTGTAAAAAAAATTTTTTTTGGAAAAAATGTCCTACATTCCTGACGGTACTTATAAGTACCAATATATGTTTGGGCCATTAAAAATTTATGAAACGAAATTTCCTTCGATATATGCTTGAAATGTGCCGAAAGCAATATGATAACACATTGCTTAAGAAAAAATTTCATTCAGAACTTAATTACGTAAATAAAGGGTGTAAGTATAAATAATGATCAATACATCTGATTACAGCAGATAAGACAAAGAATTTATAATGAAAATAGAAAGGGAAGAAAAACTGCACATTTATGTTGCTACTTATGTTATTAAATTTATTTTAAAATAATTTGATCGTGTGTAAACTATTTCTATTCTATTTTAGGTTAAAACTTTAAAGATACTCTGGTACGACTCTAACTATTTTGGAAGCTTTTCTTCAAATTAAAATTAAAATGCATTTGTAAAATGCTTCTGTTTGTATAAAGTGGTACATGTATGTTTTTTATTTGTGATTTAATTTAACGTTTAACTGTGGTGTCTTCAAATTTGATCTTTTTGTGAATAGCAGATTCTAAAAAAATGTGTTTCGTCTGTTAAACTCAATGTTGTTACCCTTAGGTAACGTGAATAGATAAACTGAATGTTACCCTGAGGAAACGTGAATAGATAAACTGAATGTTACCCTGAGGTAACGTGAATAGATAAACTGAATGTTACCCTGAGGAAACGTGAATAGATAAACTGAATGTTACCCTGAGGTAACGTGAATAGATAAACTGAATGTTACCCTGAGGTAACGTGAATAGATAAACTCAATGTTACTTTTAGGTAACGAAAATCTATAACTGCAGATTTAAAAACAATTTTTTTTCTGAGCTCAAAGAGGAAATTATGTTTTATGGAAGCTTGGATTAAATTAGGGAAGCTTGAATTAATTTCGTAAAATTGGCGTATTTACGAGAGACTGTTAGGCCATATATGTATATTGAGCAGTGGTGATCCATGTTTGAGTCAACCACAGCTGACAGTCTGTAGTTTGCAGAGGCGTAGCGAAGGGGAGGGGGGGGGGGGCAGGGGGGTACATATGTCCCCGGGCGCCGACCTTAGAGGGCGCCAAAATGTGTTGGAAAAACAAATTACAATCTCATTTTAGCTGCATTTTTGCTTTATAAATATAACAAAATATATATCAACATGCATATAAAAACAGTCAAATTTCATATTTTATCAGTGTATATAATGATCATTTCTACAAACTTAATTCAACGCGTTGTTTATGAAATATCTTACAGATTGTTACAGACTACAATGAATAGACAAGAATTTTGTGTCCAGATCGTCAAGGGTCTTGAGAATGTGTGGGATGAAAACATTTTATTTGACTTCGCTGTGAAAGTTCAGAATGATACCATCAAATGTCATCGTCTCATCCTAGCGGCGTGTTCAGATTTTTTCAAGGCGCTGTTCAGATCTGGTATGAAGGAGGCTAATGAAAAGTTCATGGTTCTTGATGACGTTTCATGTGAAGTGTTTCGGTTAATTTTGAACTCCATATACACTGGAACAAGTCTTATAACTCCAGATAACTTTATCGAAGTTTGGCGGACAGCTCATATGCTTCAGGTAAACTTTCTGGTGAAATTTTGTGAGGAGTTTGCTATTGAAACATGTTCATTGGACACCTGGGAAAACATATATTTCCATGCAGAACTTTTGTGTTCAGAAAAAGTTCTCGATCATCTCCGTAATTTTATGTTAAAGAACTTTGAACATATTAGATGTTCAAAAACTTTTCTAGAACTTTCTTTCGCGGAATTTCAGAATTTTATTAAAAGCCAAGATCTTGTCGTCGTCAAAGAAGATTTAGTTCTGGAATCCGTGATTAATTGGATACATTATGTACCTACAAGTCGGATAAACATTAACAAATGTTTGAACGATAATCCTGATTTTTCAATCAGAAATAATCATTTGACATTTAAAAATGTTATCCCCAGTGGAGATATGAACGAGTTTGACCCAAGAGTGGATAACCCTGTTTACGAACCTAACCAAAATGGCGATGATTTTGAAACAAATTGCGAGCAAGGTGAATCACTCACTGCTCAATCAGCTGATTTGATGAAGTGTGTAAATTCTTCTAGAAAAAGCGTTCTCCCAGAGCTGCTGAAACTAGTGAGGACGTGTCTTGTAAGTCCTGCTACTTTATGTCGCGTGCTAAAGATGAATTTGTTTTTAGAAAATAAAGATTCACGAGAATTAATTCTGGACGCCATGTCACATCATGTCCAAGAGTTTAGACACGGTCAGTGGTCGTCAGCGGCTATACACAGATCGTGTAGTGAGTACATAAATGGTGGTGTGTTTGTAAGAAGAGGTGGGTGGTTTTATTTTCTAACTGCATGCAAAGAAGAAGTGTTCATTGCTGAAAAATGTAAATATTTAGAACAGAATATTCAGCTGGTCAGTTTTGACGGTGAACTTTATGCTACGGGAAGACAAAACATTCAACAAAACGGACATTATCGAATGTTTGTTTTCTGTGGCAGCAGCTGGAAGGAGGTGATGGAAATGCCAAGTTACGATTTGTTATTGGTGTCACATGGTGATTTTATCTACGTCATAAACAAAGACGATAAAGTTTTATATAACGTCAATCCAAAAAAGAGGAAACCGAATTTAGAAAAAATTACAGATTTCCCTTCAACTATGGTTGATGTTAATCATGCAATGATTCTGGAAAATTTCCTTCTATTATTTTGCTCTGAATCTGTGAACGGTGTAGAGCAGATAGCCGTTCATAAATTTGAGATTTTGTCCAAAGTTTGGACCAGATTAGACAATCTGGATGGACCAGCTGAACAGCTGATTAGTTTTAAAAATGACAAACACAACTACATTTTACATACCAATGGCAGTTTGTGGCAGGTAGATTACACATCTGGCACCGGTAGTGTCGAATTTAAATTTCTTGTCAAACTTTGGAATTTTACAAAGAAGCTGTATGGTGCGTTAACCTTTCAGAGTAAACTAATAATTTTTGGTAACTGCCCTAAAAATGACCCGCCTAACAAGACAAAAATAAGAGAGTTGCCGGACCATTTCTCGAGAATATCATATCATGGAAATGACTGGGACAGTTTATGTTTTCTTCCTTTCATAATATCAAAAGATGATTTACTTCCCTTGCGTAAATAATAGTGCTTGGTTTTGAAATGTACTTCGCTTTTACGGAGACGGGCAGCATCATCATTTTAGTAAAATGACAAATCAATGCTGTCGTACTGAAGCTGTTGTTGAAACCAGAAGTTTATTATTTTATTTTTATTGTATACACGCACACACACACACACACACACACGTGCAGATACAGACACACACATATGTTACATGCAATTTACAAAACCCTGCATTCTATATGTGCGTGGCTGAAGTACGTCTGATTATTATTATTATTATATGTAGATTAAAACGCGAATGTACCGTTTCATTTAACGGTCGTAAACTGTTCGCAATTTTTCGTTAAGTAGTCCAGAATTATGGCACCGCTGTTTGTTTATGTCGCTGTCTACTGCTAGTCTGGGTATATTTTGTATAATTATGGTCAATGTTTCGTGACGTATTGTTTGTTATCAGTGGTTCAGGAACTATTTGTTGAAGCGTAGTGTGCAAAGTGTATGTATGTCCGTATTGTTCGCAAGTTTCAAATTCCTTTTCGAGCGCAGGAGTGTGTGTGTGTGTGTGTGTGTGTGTGTGAAGGGGAGGTATAAGAAAGGTCAGAACCGAGACCATCCATGGCATCGACAGTTATTACTGTCCATCTAAAGTTGTACATTTTGATTCTACGTTTTTGAATTCTAGTATGATAGTTGCTTTTTAAAAATCTTTTATATATATATATTTTTTTTTTTTATATAAATATGTATTTTTGTCATAGGTTAACTTCTCCCTACCATGTTCATTTAGACTTTTAGCCACAATGGAAGTAGTGTCTGACCACGTGGTGGTAGAAAGACTTTATTTTAAAGTCAATTTTTTTATTCATGTTATGCATTTTTCCTAATATTAAGGCTCATGCTTGTGAACCTCCTGTGGAGGGAATGTTTCACAGCATTGGTTATTGTTAGTTGTCTCCTGGATTTAAATTATTCCAGGGATTGGCTTGGTTATTTAGACTTGACCCAAAGTTATGGTTCATTGCTGACTATAAGGTTGAGTTATGCTCCTGAATTTTAGTAACTGTTTTATTTAATACTGTTTTAATTGTAGTTGACCAGCACTTCCTATGGAGATGTTTATTGTATCCACAGGGGAGCGTTTGGCTCATCCAGGTCACTATGTGTAGCCAGAATTATAGTATGATTAGCATTAAATGTCGACTGATTGTCACTCCTTAGGGATAACGTTATTGAGAGAGGAAGACTTGGTTCAGTTGGACCTATATGATATTATCGTGAGTTGTCCTGACGTGGACTACTCCTAGACTGTTACAATTTGTTTAATCCAGCTTTTTTAAATACGTTTTTGTCGTTATTACCCGTCTCATTAATATGTTCTCTTTTCAGGTTGTAGTCCAATTAGTGGTTTAGTCTGTTTTGTTCTGTTCCTTTTAATCTTTTTTAAAAATTAAATTTTCTTTTGACATTTGGTTCAATTTTTTTGTGAAATAAATTTTATAAACTCTCAGCTTTTTTGTTTGTTTTATTTTAGTATAAGGCCAAGGTTAGGATTTTAACCAGTCTGAGTTCGACCAAACTTGCACTGACTTGAAAGTTTATTTATATAAGTCTAGGAAGGTAGAATAGCCACCCAACTTCTCTGGGCTTATATATAGTACCTGGGCAATGAAAACAATACCTGACGTTTTAAGACTATGTGTGAAATTCTCCACTCTGCCTGTTTGTTATTTGGTATTCTATAGAATGAAAAAGAAATGTATGAAATATGAAAGGAAAATAATGTATTACATATTTTGACGACCCATTCCGAACATTACATACATTGCCTAGGTATTTTATAGAAGGAGTATAAGTAGACTGTGATAGTGATGTTCATGTGGTTAATGGTAGGGTTGTAGATTTGGTTCAGCATCTTTTTGTACGATTGTTATCACTATGATGTTGTCAACGTAAGTGTTGAACTCATGTCATAGAGATATTTCTAATTAATGATGTATCATATGATAGAAAATATAGGCTGATTTAAAAACAAAAATGGTTGAAATACTTTAATTTCACACATTGTCTATGTGTTTACTAAGGTTTCAATGTACCGTCATACTAAGGGGTTGAATTTTACACAGGTATTTTCATTAGATATTGTAAGTGCTAAAAATTGAAAGAACATTATTTGTTGTCACCTACACCAACAAAACTTCATTAAAATAAACCGGAAGCGATCTCCCTTAAACTTTCTCGAATATTCTTTAATAAAAAAAACAGGGAATGGGAACTCGGGATATAGACATGAATTTTAATCCATTTTAAAAAATTAAACTTTTTAAAATAGAATAAAATCTCATGGAAAAAAGAATAGCACACCTGTGAACGCCAAATAAATTGTGCATAATAAATAGTGCGGTATATTATTAGTACTTTATAAATTTACATTCTTTTTTTTTTGAGAAATCGGAAATAGCGTAAATTAGTACTTTCAATCAACGGAAATTACTCAAAATTTGAAAGAAGGTAGAGAATTAGATCTTTTACTTACATGTGAAATTTCATTTATCTATCTGAAATAGTACTCAAGTTATAGGCTTTTGAAAAATTCAAAGTAGAAAAAGTACCACTTCCAGTTATCGGAAATCGCTGAAAATTTGATCAGGATCTACGATTTTGATAAAATCTAACGGTACTCTCGTGTTTACAAACAGACACACACACATAGACATACGGACATAATTGCAAAGTCCAGTTTTTACGACTCGATAACGCATAAAACGCCAAAATGTTTATATATTTGTATTTATAATTTTTGCCTGATTAAAATAAGTCCTCTGTACTCCGGATGTGATGAAGGACTGAGGAGTAAAACGGTTAAAACTGTCAAAATTTCATGTTATTTTTGTGCACGAATACAATACTTTCTCTATACTTCGTATATACGAGAAAGTAAAAAATTACTGTTTTAAAGACAAAGAAACGTATCTTCTAACTAAACTATGCCTACATTGGATCTATTTTAAGTCTGTGCTAATACAAAAAGTGTTGCACCAATGAAACACGGTTCATGGATATAAAGGTCTCACCATTAAGTTTGTTCATAATCGGATACTTAAAATAAGCTACAGATTAATGGTGACATTTTATATGAAAAGAGAATAATATTATAAGCATTAAGTCTTGGATAAGCTGGTCTAGTCTAGTGAATTAACTCACTGAATACACGTTTGTTTACTTGACCAATCGCTCGAAAATACAGATATTTTCGTCAGGATATTAGCCAATAACATGAAGGCAAGTCGATAAATTAAGTGAATGGAGCGAGATTCTTTGAAGCAGTTCGCTTTTGATACTGCTGACAATACAAAAATATATAATTTGATTTCCAGCCCTACAATATGTCCATATTGTTGTATAGATATGTATTGAGGCTTAAATGTTCCGTTTTGTGCCTGACATTTCGGAGATAGAATCCCACAGTGAAGATTTTTAAAAGGATAAAATCATTGCAACCTATCACAGCTGGTCCTAGTGTTGTTTCCTATTGCAGATTTTAGAACCGTCAGCGGACACTGGTTAAAGTATATGTTCGTCTCAAAGAGAAGTAACCGTTTTTCGGGGTGGGGGGGGGGGGAGTCTCTGACCCCTGAGATATTCCTGGAAGAAACTCTGATCGGTGACGTGATGAGGTTATTGAGAGTTTATGGAAAGGTAACGGTTCGAGTGGTTCCAGGAAAGAAAATTACATTAACCAGTGTAGGTAGGTTACAGTGTAAGCTATGGTTAATAACTACCATTCACGAGTATTTTACAGTGTACTTGAACTATAAAGTAAACAAACAAAATCAACTAAAACCCTGAAATTATTTTAAATATTCTTTCTCACTAAGTTTTTCTCAAAAATATCATTTTATACATGACATCTTGTTTACTTTATTTTAGTGTTGTTTGTTCTTTTGAGATTTGTATTATTATTTTTCTAAATCAATCTACAACCTACAATGGATTGAATAGTCTACATGATAACTTAGGTCGAATACGATCGCTGCCTTTTAGGTGCTGCGCACCATAATGTACTCGCCATTAATTTTTGCACTAGTGAATGAAGATAGGTTTAAGCAACAAACACGAATAGTAAGTTCAGCCCTTCCAGTTTTAAGAAATATTATTTAACAGTCTAAAGTCTAAATGAAATAAATTTAGTGAAAATATTATTATTGCAGCTAGGGTAAAGATTAGGCATAACGATAAAATAAAGGTAAGCACTGAGCTAACTGTTAGAGTAAATGTAAGTGCAGACTGTAGATTTAGACCAAAAGCCAAAAGGAAGATATTTTTAAATACAATTTGTCTAGAGTATCTTCATTGAGTTCCCTAATTTCTTTTTCTGTCTACCATTTCTTATTATTTTCAATATAGGTTGGTATTATGATATTCTTTCCCATATTACAAATCAACCACATTTTAAAAATATTAACAGGTTCAGTTGAAACATATATCTAGTAGGCTACACCTTCTTTTCATTTTTAAATGTGTTTTTCCTTAAAAACATAATAATTTGAAAACTACGCTTGCTCTAAATTTATTTGTATTGGCAAGCCTATAGAATTCTATTTAATTATGTGAAATTAGTTACACGATTCACAAATTATTCTTAATTAATTTGGTAAATGTAAATCAACTGTTGATATTGAATATTATTACATTTTTTAAAGATCTTGTCAAATTTTGTTTGCTAGCCATCTTATTTTTTTCTGAATAATTAGTGATAGTTAAATCTGCTTTTTGTAAAAATAGCATACCAACAAATTCGAAAAATTTAATTTATTTAGCTTTGGTAAATACATGCAGGAGAACCACCCTTGTTACATAATTTATTATTCATAATTATTTTTTTGAAGAAATATTCAATTTTAACTTATCCTTTCACCCCGATAAAGAGCTTTTATATAACTTTAATGTTAACAAAAAAACATATTAATAGATAGAATTACAAATATAAATTTGGTATCAGTTTAAAGCAGGCATTCTTCCCTAGCTAACTCATGTGGTTTCAGGATAAAATACTCAAATGTTTATTTTGTGTTACTACCTAGGCCTAGAGCTAGCGAGCAAGTAAAGGCAGGGCTGTTCTGATGTAATTAGTTAAATAACCATAGAAACAAAACGTATGCAAATATTCAAAACTTAACTATATTTTAGTAAATGAAATGTCTGGGTCGATAATTAATTTTCAAAATAATTTTACCCACCTTTAATAAGCGATGCCTGCCCTTTTTCTAGTTATTTATATAGTGGTGCATTATTTCTTGTAAGTCGTTTTATAATTTTCAATTTTACGCTTATATAGAAGCTAGTTGATATAAATGCATAATATCAACTGTTTACACGCTTCTATTTATAGCTTGATACCACACACTAGTATCATCTTTGGCTAAAAATTGAAAACAAAATATGAACTTCTTCTAAGGAACCGATTTCTTTTAGAATGAACACATACTTCAATACCCGATGACAAAAGAAAGTGTCGTAAAATGTAACATTTTGAGATGCTTAATTTATTGTCTAAAATAAACTACAGATTGCCTTACATGGCTCTACTGCTATGTCGCTTTGAACACATTTCGGTGCTTTGTTGTAAACTATGCAATGCGAATCTAATTGATTAAAATTAATAAGTATTAAATAAAAGATTAAAAGAAAACCCAGCTTATTTATAACTTTTTTTATTTATAAGTTTAAAATGAAAAAAAAACGCAATATGATAATCTCTAAATATATTTTTTAAGGAACTAATATCTAAAATGAAAAGCGTGGGTGTCGAAAACGTCGATTAAAAATAAAAAGTTTTGAGCGCTCCTCACTTTTCTGTATAGATATTTAGATAATGGGGATTTTATTTATATTTTTAAACGTCATTATAGTTTTTTAGTGCACGTATAAAATCTTGGTATTATAAAAGCTTTTAATTGATGCTTTAGAACGTTTGTTCCATTTTAAAAAAGTATTTGCTTACGTGGTTTTGGTTTAGTCTATGTTTTAAATCGGTTTTGGTGTTCATTTATTTTAAAAGTGATTTTTATATTTTATGAAAGTGTATCACACCATCATATGTCCACTAAAATTAGTGCTAAGCTCTACAAGACGAAATAAGTCGCAATACATTTTTTTTTTTAAATGGCCTAAAATGTTTGTAAGTTGAAAATATTTGGATTTTATTTTTATTATGTCTGTGTTGTTTATAAACACTCAACCTCACAAGAATTTGATGATAAATTTATTTGATGAATAAAGCATTTCAGAACTAAATTGACCATGA